TAGCACCCCTCTGTGGTCCAGGTCACTACTCCTGGCATCCTACCAATTGATCACGGCTAGCACCCCTCTCGAGGTCCAAGACATCACTCCTAGCACTCTCCTCGGCCACCACTTCAATTTACTGCCTCAAGTGTTGCTAATCTCCTATGCTACTAATTGTTATAGACTGAGTAGAAGAGCCCGACCTAAAAGACTAGCCTATCGGGAGCCCATCAATCTATAATTCATTTCCTACAACTCTTTGCAATCAATCCGGGGATCAATTGGTCCACAATAATTACTTCGAGTTAAATACCAAAGTTGCCTTATGTGACTTGCAAGTTAATTAATTGCACATTATATATGTACTTGGGAAAAGCTCAAACTATCCATAGTCTGCTGGAAACATCCTATTAGCCCTTTAACAAACATCCGGTGTCCGGCACCCACATTGGGGCCCGATTAAATCCGAATTCGCGTTGGAAAGTCCCACATGTGAGGGGGTTTAAAGTACTCCCTAACAAAGACACTTTAGCTTAGTGCTTGGGCAGGTACTCCGTACTCCAATACCTTCTGTTGCTCTTATATTTAGTAAAAACTCTCACCGCTCTTGAACTTCTTTGTCATTTCTATTCTTGTACCCTAAAGATGTTTACTGCACAGAGTATATTAAAATGATGACCTAAATCGTGCAGGTTTTTATCATTCTGCTATCCTCAACACACATGATGTTAAGGGAGGTGAAGATATATGGGAGCTGGCAATGAGAAGTTACACATCTTTCATCAATGCCAAGAACAACAACAAGCATTTTTCAGACATGGGAGACCTGAATTTCCTCATGTGCAAGGCATTGATAATCCTGGCTTAACGCCCGCCTCTTCACTTAGGTCTTCTCTAATCTCTGTGTTTGAAGACCCCGTGATCGATAACTCCAGCACAGTGCATCAGGAAATTGGATTAGAAGACTTCATAGGCTGTATGTCTGTGCATGGGGTAGGCCCTTCTATTGCCATATTCGATACGATTAGGGATGGACAGTTGGATTGTGCATGTGTTTATCCCTTCCCTTTGCATACTAGGGAACAAATGCAGGAATTCATTGGTGAAATGAAAAGAATCCTTGTTGACTGGTAGCAAATTACAGGAATATTATTGATGACTGAACAAAAGCATTATGTTTCCTACTCATATTTAATGAAATGCAATAAGTTCCCTGGAGAACAGTTTGATTACGATCTCAAGTTTCAAATTCTTGTTCTTTTTCTGCTTACTGCAAAATGCTGAGTTTTTCAACTCCAAGCAGGAAGTCCATTGGCCAACAAAACTGGCTAGATTGGTCATTATTGATTCTTAGATCACCAGTTTGATCCATTAATTCATAAGAGTTTAAATGATTAAAAGACTTGAAGAATTAACGTAAATAACCGCTCGCCTAACCACTTAAACTAAAATTTGCCGGAGGATGTATACTTAGTTAAATCTGATTTAGAAGAACCAAACTAAAAAGACAAATAGTCGAATCAAAACAGAGGTCTCGAGTTCGAGCTCGGGAATGGGTAGATAGATATAGAAGTTATATTCTGTAGTAGAACATTCTTTTTGGTGAGATATTAGTATATTCACTACTATCTTTTAAAAGATATATAGGATAAAGTTAAAAAAACATTCCATTAGATGTCTAGTTCCTTTCAATACACCACACAACTACTAAAATGCTGCTTAGTCAAAGAACCATTGGCATATGCAATATTCAATCACTAAACTTACTCTTCTTCCAACTAACATGTAGCCAACTACTTTGTTTTCGGCTAATTTTGTCTAACACAGTGTTTAGTATTTAATATTTGACCAAATCAAAATTTAATATATAACATGCATGCACCTCTTGATGATAAATCAAACTAACAATTTTCCCTTTTGAATATTTTTTAACCTAGCTATTTGACTAGCTTGATAATTATGCCTACTACATACTTTGGTAAAAACTTGTGAATTGACAAGAAAAAAAGGTGAAGATAAAAATTAAAATGATAGAGATGAACATCCTTAAACTGGCCTTAATCTAAATTGAAAGGGCAAAAAGTAAATAATAAAGGATATTTCTCATTCATTTCTTGCCACTACAAATTTACAATTTAACTAGTTGACACTAATTTAAAGAGAAAAACAAAATGACAAGATTACTTCTCTACTGCTTTCTCCTCTCTAAGTCTACCTCATGGGGAAAGCAAAAGGAAGCTTACCTAGGATATTGAGTGTGTCTTAATTTACACTATCTCTTTGGCACCAAAAAATAAAATTAAGAATTAAAATGTAATTACCTCCTTAAGGTATATATCCTTGAATCTATTTCTCCATAGGCTATCCTCACACTAGAAAAATAGCTGACCTCAACTTGTTTGGAACTGGAACGTTCTAGTTGTTGTTAATGTATCCTCACACTCGAGTTATTATGCATAATGAAAGCTAAGTTTAGGAGGAGACATTATACTTGAGATTGAATAGTTATGCAACACAATAATATTGTTAGGCCCAATCCGAAACAAGTTTAGATCAATTGTATGAACCTTCAGAGAACCATGTCGCTCCATTTAAACTAATCTCAATCCAATGTGTTATACAAAGTAAAAATACCTAGAAATTCTCTATATTTTCTACTGATACATAAATCTCTGATAGAAGTAGAAGACTCCTAGACAACATAAGAAGTAAAGGTACACCGACATAGCTAAAATTTAATCCCTAAATTGTATAACCCATATAATCTTCCATTGCGCCTTGAGTTTGGCTAGATCTGTATGGATTCTAAGAGATTGTAGGTCCTTCATGATAACTTTTTTTTCAAGAAATTTTAAGTCTACAGTATCTCCTTATAACATCTTCTGTTACAATGATTTCACACTTATTCATCGAAATTGAGTATTTATAATTTTTTTTTCGCTTATTTTGTTTTTCACTTTTGCAAGGTTTCACAATGACAACATGCAAAAACTAATGGAAGATATGTCAGAAGAAGAGACAAAGAACTTTGAGATTGATATGGGAAAAATAAATTGGAGGGATTACTTCTTGAAAATCCACATTCCTGGTGTAGAAGAAAATGTATTGAAAGGCAAAAGAGTATCATGATTACTTCTTGAAAATCCACATTCCTTCCTTGATTATGAAGGGAAAAACTGGAGATTTTTTTTATATTGCATTTATAAAGTTGTATTGGGTTTTTAAATGGCCAAATATATCAACAGCCCTTTAAAGTTGTCATCATTTTTACTTAAACACCTTATTTTAAGTCCGTTTCATTTTAACACTCCAACTATATCTTAAATGTGTCATTTAAACACAAAATTCATAAATAGCCAACCATATAAGACGTGTGTAATTCACTCGCCAAAGTGATGAATAAAAGGGGACATGTGGATTTAACTTGGACAAACTTAAAAAAAAAAAAAAACATTTAACAAGAACCATACGCCACTCCTCAGTCACTCCCCCCCCCCCCCCCCCCTTCCGTCTTCATCTACCAAAAGAAAATAATATAGGTATCGTTTTTTGATTTTTAGATCTGGGGAAGGGAGAAATTTATGTTAATTTTTTTCTTTCTTTTTTGGGTTGAAATTCCCTTATTTTAGCTAACTGGAGAAGAAAAAATTTGAGTTGAGAAAAAAGGAAAGAAACAAAAAAGAATCCGGCGATTCTAGCAACCACCGTCCATTGCTCATTTCCTTTCCTCCTTCATCTCTATTATTCTGCTTCGTTATTGTTTCGACTGATAAAAGAGCAGAACTGAAAGAAGTGATCGGCCATTTAATATTTCGGCGGCTACGATTAAAATAGGCGACATTTATTACCATTTTTGGTGTTCCATCGTTGTGGTATCAGAGATTCGTTTGTGTTTTGTCTATTACTGATTTCGTGGTTGGTGTGTAAATGTTAAAACCTTGATAACATATTATTGCTTGTCGCCTCTTTGGACTTGGCAGGAGTTCTGACTTTTCCGGCGCCATTAATTCCGGCAATAAAATTTAAGGCAACAAGGTGATGGTGGTGAACTGGCAGAGGGAGAAATAGAGAGGAAAGGGGTGATGAGGATAAAGAATAGGAGGAAAATGAACGTAAAAAAAAAATAAAAAATAGAAATATTGATCTCTCACGCTCCAAAAAATAGTAATACATGCAGTATGCCACATCATCAAATTGTATTTAAATGACACATTTGAGATATGATTGGAGTGTTTAAATTAAACGAACTTAAAATAGAATGTTTAAGTGAAAAGTGAGGATAACTTTAAGGGGCTACCGATGTATTTGGCCTTTTTAAATAGAAGGATATGTCGTAAAAAAAATTGACATAATTATGAATGACTTAATATGTGACTCCCAAATTCCTGCAAGTGATAATATGTTGTTTATATTTTAGTTCGAGTCATAAATTCATCCGTTGTTTAAGTATCGAGAAGAGGTGATTAGGTAGGATGTCATATATTCAGCTTGACAAGGACATGATCCTTTGATAAAAACATGTGAAAATTGAGAATCATGATAGTAGATTACAGTTGTCAAGCGTAATTCTTTTTTGTATCTGTCTTGCTTTTTAATACCAGTAACACTAGTGTATTCTGATATTTCCATTTTGCAGATATCTAATACTATCGACTGCTTCTTTTGCTTTGGTTATCTTTTTTTTTTCCCCTGATTGTGATTACTATTTTTCTTTATATGAATTCTCCTTTGTTGTATTTCCTTATGCTATTTGTTGTGATTATGTGTTTTTTGAGCTGAGGGTTTATCGGAAACAACCTCAATACCTTCTTAAGATAAGTTTAAGGTCAGCGTACACACTAGTTTACCACCAAGGTAAAGCGCACTTTTTCAAAGAGGACTTTATATTAAGAACTCGAAAAGACCTCCAATTAAAGATAAAGGAATAAACATCAAGTTAGATTTATTAATAAAAATTATGTATTACAAAGATAATAAGAGCAGTGATGCTTTATTTGTCCACTTTATAGTACTTTTCAGTTGTCACTCAATCTATTTGTCCATTTCCAAGTACCTTCTTAGCTATCACTCAATTATAACTATCACACACCACACTCCCATCTTTTCATGGCTGAGGAAGAAAGCAGCACCACCGCAGCTCCGCCGTGTGAATTTCAAACCCGGCCGGCAGGTAGCACGGAGCACAGCTGGTGCAAGGCGGTTCCCGGTGGCACAGGGATAACAGTCTTAGCTCTCCTCTTATCAAAATCCCCTGACATTTCACTTCTCCAAAATGCCCTCCACAAACTTCAAAATTCCAATCCTATCCTCAAATCCAAACTCCACTACGAACCCACAACTAACTCCTACTCTTACATCATTCCCTCCACTTCTCACCTTCAAATCCAGCCGTTTGATATCTCATCAACGGCTCAAATTCTTCAACAGCTCAAAATCCCTAATCATACCTCAATCTCCGATTTTCACCTAATCCTCGAGCACGAACTCAACAAAAACTCCTGGGTAAATACCGCCACGTCGTCTGATCACTCCGACACTGATGTTCTATTCCCGAGCATCTATAGATTAAGCGATGAGAAATGGGCAGTTACTTTACGGATTCACACGTCAACGTGTGACAGGCCGGCGGCGTTGGCGTTGCTGAGGAAGTTGCTGGAGCTGATGAGTAGTGAGAAGGGAAAAGGGATGAATGAAAATGAAGGAGGAAGGGTAGAATTGGAATTAAGGGAAAATATGGAGGTTGGTTTGGGAATAGAGGAATATATTCCTGCTGGAAAAGCTAATAAACCATTTTGGGCACGTGGGATAGATATGGTTGGGTATGGTTTGAATGCACTGAGATTTGCTAATTTGAATTTCATAGATAGTGAATCAACAAGAGGATCTCAAGTTGTAAAATTGCAGTTGAATAAAGAAGATACCGATCGCATTCTTGATGTAAGTTTATATCACATTCTCATAATTTCCATTTTTTTCTTTTTAGTTTCCTTAATTTAATAAAAAAGAGCAGCCCGGTGCACTAAGATCCCGCTACGCGCGCGGTTCGAGGAAGGCACAGACCACGTTGTGGTCTAGTGTACGCAGCAGTTGTTTTCACGGCTCGAACTCGTGACCACATGGTCACATGACAATAACTTTTAGTTTACTTAATTAAGTAGACCGGTAATAATATTTCATCAAGAAGATAACACAATGGTTTGAGAAATTTATTCATATTCAGTATTTATACTAAACTAATTGATTCATATTTGTATTTATATGCACTTTTATCACTTAATTATAATTTATTAACTTTATAATTTTACCTCAATCTACCATATGATGAAATGTGATTTGATGTAAATATTGAGTCCGAGTTAAATTTTTTTTGGTTTTAAAAAAAAAAAAACAAAAAAGAAGGTTAACTTGGACTCAATATTTGCATCAAATCGCATTTGATGTAATTTTTTCATATTTTTATGTGATCTAAACTTTTCGTTTCTTTAATGTGTATGCTAGTTCTAAATATTTAACCTCTAAGATTAAATTGTCTGGTTTGATTCAAATATCGTGTGTAAGTATTTACCTACATCAAACTACATAATTCGTGACTTCTATTTCTTTTTTACAAGAAAATCGTTTTATTAATTTGAAAATGTAATAATAAGATCTTCTGACTCAATGTTTACATCAAATCACATTAGTTGATTGAGGTAAAAATATAAAGTAAATGAATTAAATTAGGTGATAAAAGTGCATGGAAAGACACATTGAAAAAATAGTTAGGTAATCTCTTGGTTTCATTTTCTATAAAGTTAGGCAAAGGTAGACCCAATAAAAATTCTTTGGTCCCATTATCTTGTTATGTTGGTTGAAAATTTATGGCCCTTGTTGAATGCAGGGTACTATTCTCTTCACGTGATGTACAACTTTACACATGCATGTACTATTTGTCAAAAAATAGAAATATACAGGTCACCTGTGAAACATAGAGTATGTCAACAATAACTGTTATTTATCTGTATTGCTGTAAGTAAATAAAACAGTAATTTTTCTGAAAAATAAAACAGAAAGTTAGTAGAAACAATTCTGAAAAATAATATTCGAACTTCAAAATAATTTTTGAAACGTTGAAGGAACAAATCGAGCCCACTGAATACACAGTGTGTCCTTAAGGAAATTATTCCCCTCAAGTACCCGAGGTTATGGAATATATCCTCCCAGGATAGAACGATTTAACTCACCGGAGTGTTGGTACAAAAAACGCCGATGATCAGCGAACCACTCGATGGCAGCAAAACACACTGGAATTTTAGTGCAGAAGAAGATAATCAGAAAATTTCGTAAGTAAATATTCTGGGATTTGAAGGTCTATTTATAGCCAACTTGGTGATGTTTCTGAAGAGGTTTGCAACCTTTCAGAATAGTCATGACTGTTGGAACAGGTGTTACCCTCTGAAGAGGTTTGCAACCTTTCAAAACAGTCATGGCTATTGGAACAGGTGTGACCCTCTGAAGAGGTTTGCAACTTTTCAGAATAGTCATGGATGTTGGAACAGGTGTGACACTGTTTCAGAACAGCCATGGCTGTTGGAAATTTTTGCGAGAAATTTAAACGACTTTAAATTAACCCGGGAAAGAAAAACGGGCTAGACCGGACCGGGTAGCGGGTCATCCCTCCATTTCTTTTCCCACCATTTTTCATTCACACCTCTTTTGTTATTATTTATTAAATAACAAACCCAACAATCCCCCACATGAATGGGGAATGGCTATAAACTTAAAGGAATGCACGGGCGTGTGTGTGTTTTACAAACAAGAATTGATTGCATCTGGATAAGTAGGTTTCCCTCTGAACTTTCCGTAGTGAACTTATATCGGATATACTCGGTCAATCGGTAGATTTGATATCTTTGAACCGTCGAGCTTTATTGTATACCTAGACAACATAAGTCACACAATCAATCCTTAACCATCTATGATTCTCACGGTTGTGTTCGTCTCAGCCAAGAACACCGCCTGGTTTCATGAGTGCTTAGAGAATGGGCCTTTACTTTCATTCTTCTTGAAGCGGCTTCCACTTCACACTCACATAGGTGATTCCTAAACGTGTAATCCTAAAGACACACTATCTGGTCATATCTTGCCAGACTTAGCAAATCATTAAAAAGCTTTAAGCTTTATTAACTCATCAAAAAAAAAAGCCTTAATGTTTTACCTCGTTTTTGAACATTGTCTTCATCACGAGAATGGGTTGAGTTAGTTGACAATGTTGAACCGTCATTCATAACTTTGTTTGATCTCTTTGAACCTAGCTCTTGGGATCTCCAGTCTGCTAGGTAGAGTTACCGCCATGATGACTTGTCCTAGGCCTTTAACCCCATTCCCTTTGATGATCTTTCAACTGCCTCTCTAGATAGGCCTTTTGTAAGTGGATCCGACACGTTATCTCTTGACTTTACGTAGTCAATTGTGATAACACCACTAGAGAGTAGTTGTCTAACGGTATTGTGTCTCCGTCGGATATGACGAGATTTTCCGATATACATAACGCTCCTTGCCCTACCTATTGCCGCTTGACTATCACAATGTATACATATAGGTGCCAAAGGTTTGGGCCAAAATGGAATATCTTCCAAGAAATTCCGGAGCCATTCAGCTTCCTCACCGGCCTTATCTAAAGCTATGAATTCAGATTCCATTGTAGAACGGGCGATGCACGTTTGTTTGGATGATTTCCAAGATACTGCTCCACCCCCAATTGTGAAAACATATCCACTCGTGGATTTAACTTCAGATGATCCGGTGATCCAATTTGCATCACTATATCCCTCGATCACGGAAGGATATTTGTTATAATGCAAAGCATAATTTTGGGTATGTTTCAGATATCCCAAAACTCGTTTCATTGCCATCCAATGTATTTGATTGGGATTACTTGTAAACCGACTCAGTTTGCTAATAGCACATGCTATATCTGGTCGCGTACAATTCATGATATACATCAAACTTCCCAATACTCTTGCATAGTCCAGTTGTGAGTCACTTTCACCTTCATTCTTTTGAAGTGCATAACTCACGTCAATTGGAGTCTTGGCAATTTTGAAATCCAAATACTTGAACTTGTCAAGTACCTTTTCAATGTAGTGAGACTGTGATAATGCTAGACCTTGTGGAGTCTTGCGAATTCTGATTCCTAAGATCACATCAGCAACTCCTAAGTCTTTCATGTCGAATTTGCTAGCCAACATGCGCTTTGTAGCATTTATATCTGCCATACTTTTGCTTATTATCAACATGTCATCAACATATAAACAAACAATGACTTCATGACCTGGAGTATTTTTAATGTAAACACATTTGTCACACTCGTTGATTTTAAATCCATTTGCCAACATTGTTTGGTCAAATTTTGCATGCCATTGTTTGGGTGCTTGTTTAAGTCCATAAAGCGACTTAACAAGTTTGCACACTTTCTTTTCTTTACCAGGAACCACAAAACCCTCAGGTTGTTCCATGTAAATTTCTTCCTCCAATTCTCCATTTAGGAAAGCTGTTTTAACATCCATTTGATGGATTTCAAGACCATACACGGCCGCTAGTGCCACTAACACCCTAATAGATGTTATCCTCGTTACTGGCGAGTAAGTGTCAAAGTAATCAAGGCCTTCCTTTTGTCTATAACCTTTGACAACAAGTCTTGCCTTATATTTGTCAATAGTGCCATCAGCTTTAATTTTCCGTTTAAAGATCCATTTCGAACCTAAAGGCTTATTTCCTGGAGGAAGATCAACCAATTCCCATGTATGATTATCCAAAATTGATTGAATCTCACTATTGACTGCCTCTTTCCAAAATGCTGAATCAGAAGACGACATAGCTGCTTTAAAAGTTTGAGGCTCATTTTCAAGCAAGAATGTCACAAAATCTGGTCCAAAGGACGTAGATGTTCTTTGACGTTTGCTACGCCTTGGATCTTCTATACTTGGAGTATTTTCCTTTGGTTCTTCCCGAGGTCGTTTAGGTTTTTCACTTAACGACTCGCTTTCAGTTTTATACGGATAGATGCTTTCAAAGAATTCAGCATTATCTGATTCCATTACCGTATTAACATGAATCTCGGGATTATCAGATTTATGAACCAAAAATCGACATGCTTTACTATTTGTAGCATATCCAATGAAAACGCAATCTACTGTTTTTGGTCCAATTTTAACCCTTTTAGGTAAAGGAACCTGTACCTTTGCTAGACACCCCCACACTTTGAAATATTTCAAGTTGGGTTTTCTTCCTTTCCATTTTTCATATGGAATAGATTGCGTTTTGCTGTGGGGTACTCTGTTGAGTATTCGGTTAGCTGTAAGGATAGCTTCCCCCCACAAACTCTGCGGTAATCCGGAACTTATTAATAAAGAATTCATCATTTCTTTTAATGTCCGATTTTTCCTTTCCGCAATTCCGTTGGATTGAGGTGTGTAAGGTGCAGTAGTTTGATGGATAATTCCATATTCCGAACATATTTCTGCAAACGGAGATTCATATTCTCCACCTCGATCACTTCTAATCATTTTGATCTTTTTATTCAATTGATTTTCTACTTCATTCTTGTATTGCTTAAATGCTTCAATTGCTTCATCCTTACTATTAAGCAAATAAACATAACAATATCTAGTGCAATCGTCAATAAAAGTAATAAAATACTTTTTTCCACCTCGAGATGGTGTCGACTTCATATCGCAAATGTCAGTACGAATTAAGTCTAAAGGATTTGAATTCCTTTCAACAGACTTATAAGGATGTTTTACAAACTTGGATTCAACACATATTTGACATTTCGATTTATCACTCGAATTTAGGCAATACTTCTAAATTAATTAACTTCCGCAAGGTTTTATAATTGACATGTCCTAAACGAATATGCCATAAATTATTTGACTCCAATAAATAAGAAGAAGCTGAAATTTTATTCATACTGTCAACAACCATTACATTGAGTTTGAAAAGGCCCTCCGTGAGGTAGCCTTTTCCAACATACATTTCGTTCTTGCTTACAACAACTTTATCAGAAACAAATACACATTTGAATCCATTCCTTACAAGTAAAGAAGTAGAAACTAAATTCTTCCTAATAGTAGGAACATGAAGAACATTGTTAAGCGTTAACACCTTGCCGGAAGTCATCTTCAGGAATATCTTCCCATAACCTTCAATCTTGGCTGTTGCATTATTTCCCATGGAAATTTCTTCTTCCGGACCAGCAGTAGAGTAAGTCGCAAATGCTTCTTTGACAGCACAAACATGTCGAGTGGCTCCAGAGTCAATCCACCACTCCTTCGGATTTCCAACTAAATTGCATTCCGAAAGCATTGCGCAAAGATCATCAATCTCATTATTCTTCTCCACTATGTTGGCTTGTCCCTTCTTCTTATCCTTTTTCGGGAGACGACAATCTGGGCTTTTGTGACCGACTTTTCCACAATTGTAGCAGCTGCCCTTGAATTTCTTTTTGTTCTGCTCCTTAGTTTGTCCAGAAGACCTCTTCCTCTTCTTACTTTTGGAGCAGTCTCTTCAACGATATTAGCTCCCATGATCGTGAATTTCCACGAGACTTCTTCTCGGCTGTTTTGTTGTCTTCCTCGATCTTTAGACGTATCACAAAATCTTCCAACTTCATTTCTTTGCGTTTGTGCTTCAGATAGTTCTTGAAATCTCTCCACGAAGGAGGCAATTTTTCAATCATAGCAGCTACTTGAAATGCTTCATTCACGACCATACCTTCAGCTATAAGGTTGTGAAAAATAAGTTGAAGCTCCTGAACTTGGGTTCCCACAGTTTTGCTGTCTATCATTTTATAGTCTAGAAACTTGGCAACCACGAACTTCTTCAAGCATGCATCTTCTGTCTTGTACTTCTTCTCAAGTGCGTCCCATAATTCTTTCGAAGTATTCATTGCACTGTACACATTGTACAAGTCATCTTCTAAAGCACTTAAGATATAGCCTTTGCAAAGAAAATCTGCCTGCTTCCATGCCTCAACAACCATGAACTTTTCATTATCCGGCATGTCCGCAGCAGGCACTGGAGGCTCTTCACTAATGAATTTCTGCATACCAAGTGTGGTAAGCCAGAAGAACACCCTTGTGCTGTCATCCTTTGAAGTTGGTTCCAGAAAATTTCCCCGATTTCTCAGCCGGAGGAACAGCAGTGCGGCTTGACAAGGCTATCGTCGTTGCACCAACAGTCGCAGAAGGATTTCCATTTTCATTTGCCATTTCTTACTGTCAACAACAGAAGAAATTAATTAATGGCAAAACCAAAACAGTAAATAATACTGTAATCAATAAACAGTACGTAATAAAAACAACTAAGATTTTTATATACTGTTTTACAGAAAAACGATGAAGTTTTTATGTTCTTCAAATCGTTTTCTGAATTTCAATACCCTGATGAAGTTTTTATATCTTCAAATCAGAATAGTAAAATTCAGACAGAATACAGAATATAATAAATATAATTTCCTTAAGATTGTTATTTATCTGTATTGCTGTAAGTAAATAAAACAGTAATCTTTCTGAAAAATAAAACAGAAAGTTAGTAGAAACAATTCTGAAAAATAATATTCGAACTTCAAAATAATTTTTGAAACGTTGAAGGAACAAATCGAGCCACTTGAATACACAGTGTGTCCTTAAGGAAATTATTCCCCTCAAGTACCCGAGGTTATGGAATATATCCTCCAGGATAGAACGATTTAACTCACTGGAGTGTTGGTACCAAAAACGCCGATGATCAGCGAACCACTCGATGGCAGCAAAACACGCTGGAATTTTAGTGCAGCAGAAGAAGAAGAAGATAATCAGAAAATTTCGTAAGTAAATATTCTGGGATTTGAAGGTCTATTTATAGCCAACTTGGTGATGTTTCTGAAGAGGTTTGCAACCTTTCAGAATAGTCATGACTGTTGGAACAGGTGTGACCCTCTGAAGAGGTTTGCAACCTTTCAGAACAGTCATGGCTGTTGGAACAGGTGTGACCCTCTGAAGAGGTTTGCAACTTTTCAGAATAGTCATGGCTGTTGGAACAGGTGTGACACTGTTTCAGAACAGCCATGGCTGTTGGAAATTTTTGCGGGAAATTTAAAACGACTTTAAATTAATCCGGGAAAGAAAAACGGGCTAGACCGGACCGGGTCGCGGGTCATCCCTCCATTTCTTTTCCCATCATTTTTCATTCACACCTCTTTTGTTATTATTTATTAAATAACAAACCCAACAATAACATGTGGTGAAATATAAGTTTTCTGGCTTTAGTACAAGGCCTTGGATTCTAGCGTTAGTCATAGTTTCAATGTGTTAGTTCAAATGACATTGGGTCGCTCCTGAGCTGATGATGTAAGAGTGTAATACGTGATGTGTGGACTCGGACATGTCACAAGTTCAAACTTTGTCGTAGAAAAAAAGGTGGTATTTAGGTGGAGACGAGTAAAGGGGCAACCCATCATCCCCCAAGTTCCGTGACGTGCACCACTGTCTCGGAGATTTCTTGGTTGTCAAAAAAAAGGAAATTGGCCCATGGGGTCTAAACCATTGCTCAATTTAGAACATGTTTATAGCTTGAATAATGGTTTAACTTTTGTACACTGACAAGGTACAAATACTTTTAATGGTAAGGTTTAGAGGTTAGTTACATAGAACTGTGTACGGTAAGTGTGAGTTCGTTACCTTAAAAAATAAAGCAACTTGTCACAACCCCCTGATTGTCAATGTACATAGTTAGCAATTTAGTCCGAAAAGGAATATTAGTGGATAACAAAGTCTGAATTTTGGCAGGGCTGCAAAACAAGAGGTATAAAATTGTGTGGGGTGTTGGCTGCTGCTGGATTAATTGCAGCTCATTGCTCAAAAGGCCTACCTGAGGATCAATGGGAGAAGTATGCAGTTGTAACCCTTATTAACTGCCGCTCAATTCTTGATCCAGTTCTTAGCCCTGATTTTCCAGGTTTGCTAATGCATTCAACTGCCATAAAACTGTTCACCTTTCTTTTATGTTTTTCCCCTTTTCATGTCCTTAGATTTCAATTATAAAATGATTATTTTTGCAAGTATTTAGTTACTCTCTCTGCCCCAAGAATTTGCCTTATTTTACTTTTAAAGGTCAAAACTGACTAGTGGCCAATGAGGGACTCAAGTAGTTCATTACTATGCTCCCACTTGAGGACCAACGACCTCATCCGTCATGACTGAAATCACTTCTTGGATCCAGACCATTCTTCTTGACACCCATCTGGCCCGGTTGGTCACCGCGGGCATTGCATTTCCTATTTTCTTTTTAGGCCCTAGTTATAAGTCGCAGCTGGTACCACTTCTTACATCCTACAAGTTGGTCACGGCTAGCACCCCTCCGTGGTCCAGGTCACTACTCCTGGCATCCTACCAAATAATCATGGCTAGCACCCCTCCCGAGGTTCAAGGCCATCACTCCTGGCACTCTCCTCAGCTGCCCCAACTATGCTACTAATTGTTATAGACTGAATAGAAGAACCCGACCTAAAAGACTAGCCTATTGGGAGCCCATGAATCTATAACTCATTACCTGCAGTCTTTGCAATCTATCCGGAGTTCAATTCGTCCACGACTAATTACTTCAAGTTAAATACCAAAGTTTCTATATGTGACTTGCAAGTAAATTAACTGAAGGGGAGCCTTGGCGTAACCGGTAAAGTTGCTGCCATGTGACTAGGAGGTCACGGGTTCGAGGCATGGAAACAGCCTCTTGCAGAAATGCAGGGTAAGGCTGCGTACAATAGACCCTTGTGGTCCGGCCCTTCCTCAGACCTCGCGCATAGCGGGAGCTTAGTGCATCGGGCTGTCCTATTCTATGTACTTGGGAAAAGCTCAAACTATCCATAGTCTGTTGGAAACATCCTATTAGACCTTAGGCCCTTTAACAAATATACGGTATCCGACACCCACATTGAGGCCCGATTAAATCCGGTTTCGCGTTGGGAAGTCCCACATGGGGGATAAAGTGCTCTCTAATAAAGACCCTTTAGCTTAGTGCTTGGGCAGGTACGCCGTACTCCAATACCATGTGATTGCTCTTATATTTGATAAAAGTTCACCACTCTTGAACTTATTTTTCATTTCTATTCTTGTATCCTAAAGATGTTTACTGCAGAGAGTATATAAAATAATGACCTAAATCATGCAGGTTTTTATCATTCTGCTATCCTCAACACACATGATGTTAAGGGAGGTGAAGATATATGGGAGCTGGCAAAGAGAAGTTACACATCTTTTATTAACGCCAAGAACAACAACAAGCATTTCTCAGACATGGGAGACCTGAATTTCCTCATGTGCAAGGCCATTGATAATCCTGGCTTAACGCCCGCCTCTTCACTAAGGACTTCTCTGATCTCTGTGTTTGAAGATCCCGTGATCGATAACTCCAGCACAGTGCATCAAGAAATCGGATTAGAAGACTTCATCGGTTGTGCCTCCGTGCACGGGGTAGGCCCTTCTATTGCCATATTCGATACGATTAGGGATGGACAGTTGGATTGTGCATGTGTTTATCCCTTCCCTTTGCATACTAGGGAACAAATACAGGAACTCATTGGTGAAATGAAAAGAATCCTTGTTGACTGGTAGCAAATTACAGGGATATTATTGATGACTGAACAAAAGTATTATGTTTCCCACTCATGTTTAATGAAATGCAATAAATTCCCTGAGTAACAGTTTGATTTTGACATCAAGTTTCAAGTTCTTGTTCTTTTTCTGCTTATTGCAAAATGCTGAGTTTTTCAACTCCAAGTAGGAAATCCATAGACCTAAGGATGACTCATTAACAGAAGATTGGCTAGCTTGGTTATTTTCTTAGTCTTGGATCACTAATTTGATCCATTAAATTCATAAGAGTTCAAATGATTAAAGAATTCAAGCAGTATGTTTCAAGCATCCTGTAACAGTTGGGGT